TGCGAGGCCCGCGGGCCCGGGAGGCGCTCGGGCCACGGCGGGAGCGGCCGGCCGGGACAGCGTTAACGGGAGAGCCCGGCCCGGCCCGCGCGGGGCCGCCGCGGCGACCGCCTGGGCCGCGGGGACTCGAGTCCTCTGAGGGGACGAAGCCCGCCGCCCTGGACGCTCGGGACTCCTGCTCTGGGGCTTTGGCCGCCGGGATCTGCGGGTGCACGGCTTCGGGGAAGAAGTTGAGCGTTTTGCCAGGTCATGTCTGCCTGGGCACAGCTCATCAGCGTGGACTCAGTGGGTTTCGGTGAAGTCTCCTGCCGCGTTGAATCAGAGTATCTGGCCTCAAGGGTGCATCGTGCAAACTGAAACCAGAGGAATGAGAGAGGCCTGCTTTGTGTGTTTTCCCACTTTAAGCCTGTTTTCCGTACACATACTCTTGCTTTAAACCTGATTGGACTGTGGCGAGCAGACATCTGTTCCAAGGAGGGGCAGAGACCACAGTCCTTCTGCAGGGAGCTCGGTAATGTGGAAATATTTTAAGTGCTCTCTCCGGACACTGATTTGCCGTCTCGATTCAGGCAAGTTACTTTCTGAAGTACGATTTTTATCTGGAAAATGGTTTGATGTAGTCAGTAAATGATCCTCGTGAAAGTAGTTTGCCATCCCAGAATAAAAAGAGGCACTGTAACTTACTCTGCAGAAGTTGGTGGTCAAAAATTCTTTTTGCAAGTAGTTTACTTGAGGTCGCATATAGACCCACCCAGCTAGGTTTAAATTTCTTCTCGCTAACGTGTAACCATCAGCCTTGACACTTCCACTTTCAGGTTCAGACTTTGAATTTAAGGGAACTAAAGACGGCTTTATGTTTTTTTCTTAAATTTTCTCTTTTTAAATAGTTCTCCAAAAATAAATCCGTTACTTGTTAACGTAAGTCACATTTTAGGTAAGAGTGACATCGTTTTGCATTTTTACAAGTCTTAAAAGTCTGGTTTAATGGAAAACAGATTCTTAAATCTACTTATTTATTCAGTCTGTGTTGGTGTCACACCATGTAACCTCTGGAAAACGTTGTATACTCATGCCTTTTTTTTTTTTTTTAACTGAGAAATGTGTCATTTCTATCCTTTCACCATACAAGTCAAATCAGGGTATTATGCAAGACACATTTAAAAAATATGGATAAGAATGTTGACTCCTGTACTTTTTTCTTGGGTTCTAACTTTTTTTTAACTTGGGATTTAGAAGCATGAGCAATATCACGAATGAAGATTGTGTAATCTGCATATGATCCTGGAGATTCAGGAACATTTGAAAATATTCTACAACTTATTTTTAGTGATGTACACAAGTTTGAATTTCGTATTAGATGTGCTTGTGAAAACTTGTATGTAAATATAACTTTTGAAGATAGGACACTTTCAAAGCACTGTTGGAGCTCCAGATTTAAAAGGAGTCCTGTAAGGAAACATTTGGTGAAACAATACTTTTGTAATGCCGATAGGTACCCTTATTGTTAACTTTCCTAACTTAGAGTTCAAGTTCTCTGTCACTTTGAATCTGGGTTTTCTAGGTTCGGGAACGGTTAAACTGTAAATGTGTGAAAATTTCAGGCCATACTTAGTTTGGTGTAATGGTTTTGAAAAGCAAAATTCATTTCCAGTTGTTTCTGTGAACTCTAGTCTGATTCTGTCAGTCTGTAGTTCTCTACTGTTCCATCAACAGGAAGCATCTGGTCATTCTTCATGTAATTGTTAGAAAATGCCAGGTATATTTTTGATGTTTGCTATTCAAATGCAAATAAATATCAGATTGGATCTTGATTAATTTTACTTGATTTTGGTTTGTCAGTCTCACCCCCAACCCCCCACATCTCTGAGATATAGTTATAATGAGCCTCATCACCTGTAGAATGGACTTTTTTGTTTTTTTCCCCTTGAGTACCTCATCAGTTACTCAATGGTAACAGGTAAAGCAAACGAGTCATAAGGAATTCAGAAGTTAATTACATGAAATTTTGAATCCTGAATTCATTTTGCGGTGCAATGTCCCTTTGCAAATAGCCAGAGTATAAAGGAACTCGCTGATTGACTCCATCTCTTCTCTATCTCTTTGCAAACATTAAAAAACAGACCCAAACAAAACCTTAAAGTTGAGGACAACTTAGTGTTCTAATGAGTCATTACTTTGGCCTGAGAGCTTTCCAACCAGTAATCATATGTTTCTATAGCATTAATGTGTCTATCTTGGGACACTATAATTAGCGTTATACTTTTGTAAAGATGTTTGTACCATCATGCTCTTTAGAAGGTAAATCTATTAGTTATTAGTATTAAGGCTGTGTGTTTCCTCACAGTCTTGACAACAGTGCTCTGCACAGAGAAGATGCTTTGGTGCAATCAGCTGTCGGTTCAGTTGTTGGTGGGCCGGTGCACCTTTATTTGGGCTAAGCGTGTCCATGACATAAATGGGGAGGCTTAAGCATGAAGTGATTTCTCCACTGAGGGTAACTCCATATGTAGGGCCATTGATACATTTGGAAATAGAAATCTAAAACTCTTGGTTTTAATTCTCTTACTTTTTAATGGGAATAATTGTAAAGGCTGGCAGTTAGGGCCCAAGGTGCGAAAGTGCAAATAGAGAATGTGGAAAAGACTTGATCATTTTAGCTGATTGTACAGTTAGTATGAATCAACACTAGGGCATAATTTAAAATACCATTTTGAAGTTGGTAGAACAGCATGTAGAAAGAGCAAGGTGTTAGCCCCACTTTACTTTGTACTGACTGTATTATACCTGGGGTATCATGTCAGCTTTTTAGGTAGCATACTATCACATAATGAGTGGGACCTTACATCAGTTCTCAAACTTTATATCAGAATCACCTGCAGAGCAAAAATACGGATGCCCAGGCTTAAGTAGGATAGGACCTGGGCCACTGTATTTTTCTCAAGTTCCCCAGGAGATAGACACTCAAGTTTAAAAATCACTAACTATAGAGCACATCCAGAGTATGTTGGTCATTGGAGGAAATGGAAAGGAGGAAAGGTTGAGAAATGTGATGTTTGGCCCAAAGAAGAGCAGCTTGTTTAAGAAATGATAGCTGTCTTTAAATATTTGGAGGTGTGTCACAGAAAATCAGGTTTGATCTGACCAGAAGGAACTAGGATCAGTGGGTAGAAGTTAGAGGAGGCAAATTTACAACATTCTTCCAAGAAAAATTGCCTCAAAATGGAAAAAATATAATGGGTTGTTTTGGGTGGTAGGCTGTCTGCTCTCACTGACCGTGTTCAAGGTCAGGACTCTAGGGTAGAGGAATTGATGTGCTGAATGAGGATTTAGGCCGGGTGTCCTTAAGTTCTCTACCAACTGAGATTTTATGAAATGTGTCTAGATTTGCAGGTACAAAAGCAGAAGAGCAAAAGCTAATTGAGTGAAGCAAGCTGGTTAGCTTAACTGGATCATAGTGTTCACCTTGGATAAAGGGAAGTGAGAGAGCTACTTGATGAGGGCTTTAAACCAAGCAGTAATTGGGCAGACTCAAAAGCCTTAAAAAATGAGCCTGCTTGCTCTTTTGGAAATTCCCATTTAAGGGAATTTATCTTGATGTAATAAGGATGCGTGCAAAGACTTAGTTGTGAGGATACCAGTTGCAGCATTGTTGATAATAAAAGCAACATTTGACTCCCCCGTTAGTCATTGAAGTGGCTAATGTTATCCCCATTTTTCAGAAGGGAAAACAGGCCTAGGGACCTGAGTGAGCTTGCCCAAAGCAGGCTTAGTAAGTGGTAGAGCCAAGCCGTGGATCCAAGCAGTCTGACTCCAGAGCCAGTGACTCTTGATCACCATGCTGTAAAATTATACCCAATCTAAAATGTTTCACAGTGATTGTTAGGATACATGCCTGCAGTGACACTGCCTAGCCATTAAAGTGGTGTTAGAAGAATGTAAAGAGGTGAAAAGTGGACTTTTCATGTATATGCTAAGTGAAAAAATAGATTTAAAAACAAATATATTGACATCTGGAAGGATATGTGCCAAATTGTTAAGTGGTTATTTCTGAGGCTAGTTTTATAGGTGATTATTTTCTTCTTTGCTTATCCAAATTTTCCAACTTCTACAACAAATTTTATTGTGTATTATTTGTAATTAAAAAGATATTAGAATGTTATATTTCAATAAAAAAATTAAAGATACAAGCATAGGCTGAGGAGTTTGGATTTTATACCCTGCAGTTTTTACAAGCCGACTTAGGAATTTCACATAAATGAGAATTTGTAAGTGCATGAAGTGTTTTGTATTTTTTAAAGTTTGATTTCTTGTCATTCTAGAAGTAATGTATTAATTAAATAGAGAAAAATATCATTAACTCCTATCATCCTACCATAATCAGTTATCTATTTTGTTGTGTTTTCTTCTTCTTACATGTAATATTTTAAATGTTGTATCCATCCCAGCTTAGTCACTCTCTAGATGTGTGACTTTAGGCAACTTTCTTAGTCTCTCTGTGCCTCAGTTTCCTGCTTTGTAAAATGGGGATAATTATAACACCTACCTCATAGTGGTTGGGAGGATTAAATGAGTTACTGCATATAAAGTGATCAGAACAGTTTCTGACATAGTTAATAGCTCAGTGTTAGCAATTATTATTATAAAATCATAGTCCACTAAAAGCCTTGGGGTTTTGGAATTAAGAATATTTGGGATATAGGCAAGGTAATAATGTTATGTAACCTTTCAACAGAGTCCAGTGGAGCATCCCTCTTCAAACAGGTTACTATTTCCGCAGCAAAATGTATGAACGTTTACACTAAATGGAATAAATAGAGAGTATAAATAACTTCCTGTTTAGTTCAGGTAAGGTTTTACTGCCAAAAGAGTTATTTTGGGTTTCAGAGGTTTTTGTATTTTGGAATTGCACTTAAGGAACCTGTAGGATATTTACTCAATTTTGAGTCCTATTTTATTTTAATATTAAATTATACACCTTTCATGTTATGTAGTTTTATAATCCATGGTAATTTAAAAAATAAAAAACAGGAAATGTTCACTTCTGTTTCCTTTGATTAAAAAATATGCTAGACCACCAGTACTGCTGATTTTATTCCATAGTGTATAATCTTTTCTAAAAGAGGCTTGAGGGCCACCCCTGGTGGTTTAGTAGTTAAGTTGAGTGTGTTCCACTTTGGCAGCTGAGTTCGGTTCCCAGGCAGGGACCTATACCCCTCGTCTCTCGGTGGCCATGCTGTGGTGGTGGCTCATGTCCAAAAAAAGAGGATGATTGGCAGCGGATGTTCGCTCATGGCAAATCTTCCTCAAAAAAATAAATGAATAAAAAATAAGAGGCTTGAGAGTTTCTCTAACCCGGTTAGCTTTTTTCTGCCTCATTAACTTGAGGGATAAGACATTTCGACTGTGCTGGTTTACTGCAGCAGTGATTCTTTGAAGGAGATGAGTGAGAGCCACCATGGTATCTCTCTTTAACGTACCTTTCCCTGTTGTAGATGTGGATACTGAGGTGGATGTTTACCCGAGGTCCCAGTATTAATTCTAGAACTGCACAATGGAATTAGGTCGCTTC